CGCTTCTATATCTGCCATTTACAGTTTATTTTTGACGGTTAAAGGAAGTCCCTCGGGACGGTCACCTGCTAGGGGCTTGCTGCAAGGCTATAAACCCTCAATATGCATTGGTAGACACATTCATCAAGGCCATATTTATGTGCTGAGAGACGGAGGGGCATAAGCACTAGGCAGCCAAGGGGACGGAGCAAGAAGAACGCCTTCCGCTTCCTGTCAAGCGAAGAAACTGTAGATAAGCCAATGGTTGCACTTGTAACTTTTCAGCTTCCGAAGGAAGCCAAATGCCGTTCGCGACCACCATACAATCTCCGGAAACGTCGGTGCAACGGCACTGCAAGGACCTACAGCGTCGCACTGCGGGCGTAGCTTGGACCGTTAATACACGCTTTTCCGCTGTGTGTTTCGGGGGGGGAGAGAGCCCCAAAATGCTGCAAAAAAAGTAGAACTGCAAGGAATAACATACCCAAATTCGAAAAGCAGCAGAATCAACTGCAACGCTGCTTCCCAGACGACAGTGTAGCGCTAAGTGTGTGACTAGGAGGGAGAAATGAAGGCTGTGCTTAAAGATGCAGTTTTTCTTGTGAGCTTAAGTCACTCGTTTTGCTGAAGTTAATTTCCTATCTTGCATACTCATAGCTTTAATAGGGAAACAACTTTCTGGAAACAGATGCTGTAGAAAACCTGTCAAATCACCACTCGTCCAACGGGTTGGCAAGCGCTCTATCCCCCGGATTTTAGCGTGTTAATACTGGATTAAAAACAGGCAGAACCCTAAAAGCGCATGTGAAGTGTACATGAACGGGGAGTTCCGGGAGAGGAAACTTGTTAAGATCGAGACCCCATGAGTTTTCGAGTTCTGGCAAAGCCCTGCACGAAAGAACGTGCAATGCGGGAGCACGGAATGGACCGCTGCAGGCATTGCCAAGGGGAGCAATTGCTAGAGTGGCGTTGGAATATCCTGGTGCGGAGCTCTCAGTTCTGGGATCGCTGTCACGGGGCCTCGTCAGCTGAGGCCACCCTGAGGTAAACATTGGTTGTTTGAAGCTGAGCGCACCTGTGGGACAGTGAAAACGTTCACTTTGGGAGCTTAGCTGAAGTAATTAAACGCATTTACGCCGATATGGAGCAACAAGCACACTTTGAGACTGTCTACATGTTAATTAGCGGTTGACGGACGCGATCATTTGCAGCACTTACCGTCCGACCAGGTTGAATGGCGAGCACTTCACTGCACGAACAAACTTGTTAGATGGGCTCTACGCCTATAAAACGACAGAATGCCTTAAGAAGGAGGAAGGGGCAGCGTCGGAGCCAGGCATTTTCAAATAGGAGTGATGAAGATCCCATGACCCGCTGAAGACCGGATCCAGTGGAGAGGAACCTAGCTGCAAATACTTAAGTCGCACCAACGTTAAGGCGACAGGCTTCCAATATCCTACTTTGAGGCCATCGGACAAATCAAATGATCAGCAACTATCATTTTCCCGTAGTTTTACCACTAATGCTCGAAGATCCCTGCTAGGTCTCGAAGGACTGCAAGTGATCGTAGGCTCCCTCACAAGAATGCACGGGATATTAAGAATGCGTTTCAGCGGAAGTATGCAATTTTCCTATATAAAAAAACGAGCAAATACGCCTTACAAACACAGTACTTGGCTGAAGAAAAAGCGGAATTGCGTTGTAGATATCATTGCCACATAAGAGCGCATACAGCCGTGCCCGGATGCGACCCCTGAGGCAGCGAGCAGGGCAGCCGAACCAGTCCTGCCGCTACGCAAATTCCATCCCACGCACTTAATCACCCCTTCACAGATTCACCCTCAATTTAGTGACACTTCAGATACCGAAATATCATATTTTTCATGGTGTTTCTCGAGAATGGGCGTCATCAATTTCCTCTCATTGGCGGCTGCCGCCGTTCTTTTGGTGAAGGCAAACGGGGAGGATGAGTCCGCCGCTAAAAACACTGCCGGTAAGCCCTTAATTGTCCGAAATATCAGTTGATTTTCTCTTACCTAGGGGGACAATCCAGGGCTCTTAAGTGATGTCGTTGTCGGGGTTGCGGTTGCAGTGAGGGTAGACTGCTCGTCACCGATGAACGCAGCTCGGAGTGCCGCGGGCTTCAGTGCACTCGAAGTAGCAGCAGATGCTTCTGGACAGCTCCCAATCCATTCATCAAGCGATTCCAGTGAAAAACAGCCAAACGATGATTACCTGACGAAGGTTTGCGATGCAATGAAGAAGGTAAGGCGTGACAGTGGAATCCGTGGAATGCCTCGGTCTTGGCACCTGCTTAAATCCTACGAATGCGCATCTAAAAGCACAAACATAGATAGACATACGCACATACATATACGTTCAACCAAATTACGCGGCATCATTCGCTGTGGAGTGTGCAATACGACCATAATTCGAAGCCTGACAGGGAGCGACGCTTGATAGGAAAAACCCACATGTTACTTCGAACCTCTACAATCAAGTGTTGGGTGCCTTGTGCAACAGGGAAAGCTGCCAGACCCTCCGGTGGAAATTAAACCAGATGGTACCTTCGCCTACGCAGTGCAAGAGGGAACCGATGCGGACTGCGAGGCCGCAGTGGCTTACTGGAAAGAAGCCTTCACCAACTTCGAAGGCCTGCCGCCAGCTAACAGCACCGACGCATCTGTATACACCAGCGCCCACAATGTCTCTTTCATCTCCCTGTTCAACCCTAAGGAGAGTCCCAAAGTGGACTGCGCATATTTCACATGCCCAGCAAAATCAACGCCAAAGGAAACTGGGGATAATACAACAGAGAAGGAATTGAAGGCACTTCTGTGTGTCACAACCCCCAAAGCCTTGACAGACGAAGCGGCTCCTTACAGGTATGTTGACCCCTTAAACTTGCGACAGGTGTTGCCCCTTACAAGGGTATTGAAAATCCTTACCTTCTCTTTTGATTCTTCTCCAGCAAGGTGAGTCGCTCGAAATTGTTTGTGCGCCTCAGTCAAGAACAGTGGGATCGCATCACTACAGCCATCAATTCCGGCAACGCAGGAGTGCCGACTTTCTTCGCCGTTGCTGCCGCAGCATTGGCTGCTCTTTTCTTGTGAAGAACCCCTTGAGTTATCAACTCAAACGACAGCGTTTGTATACCTGCCATTTACAGGTTACTGGGGGCAGTTAAAGGAGGTCCCTCGGGGCGATCACCTGCTGACTTTTGCTGGTTGTTTCCCTTAACTGCCTCAAACTTCCTTACGTAGGGTTCCAACCGCGTAAGCTGCTAACGCCATATCTTTCCTCAAAGTAGGGGCAGCACAAGTCCTAGCTAGCCAACGGGACTGTAGAAAAGTAAGGCCTTCTGCCATGTGTTAAGCGAAGAACTTGTGTGTACGGCAATTGCACTACTTGTAGTTTTTCAGCTAGCGACGTGGGTGCACTAGCGCTGCACGGAGCTGCAGCCTTACACCGAGGGTTTAACTTCGAGTTTTCTCACGATAAATCTATCGACATCAGCATCTGTACACTACATCAAATGGTTACAAGCACAACACTGAAGATGTGCGTCCAGTACTGGAGAGTCCTGTGAACGGTAGTTTTCTTGAAATGAGATGCTACGATATGCCCAGTTCTAGCGAGGGGTGGCAGAAAAGAAGGGCCATTGCGGACGGACGAAATGAAGCATGGAAAGCCCTACAAGTTGAAGCCAATGCTGTAGTGCCGTTGAGCCGTCTTGGTGTGGGGTCGTTCCCATTGCTGGGAACGAGATCACAGGGATGCATCAGTTGAGAGTTGGGGTTTCTTGCCGTGGCGCTTTGAGTGATGGGCTCCAGACGACATTGGCGTATCAGCTGGGGGCAGCATTGGCTGTTTTGGGGCAGAACGCACTTCGCATTTCGGCCAATTCTGGCTGGAGTTAGTATAAAGCAACAGATGGGCTTTGTGGCGGTTAAAATGGTTTATTAGCGGCCGATGTACGGGATTATTTGCAGCAACTATGTTCCTACATAAAAGGATCGACCTCTGAAGTACTCTTCGAGTTAACCGGGCGTGCCTAAACTTGAAATGGGAATGAACGGAGAGCAGAACGAAGCAAATATCTGAGATGGGGGGACTGGAAGTGGGTCCCTTGAACTCCTAGAGCTATGCTTCACTGAGGACGGCAACAAACCACAGTGCAAAGGAGGCTGGCTGCAAACAACGAAGCCACGGCAAAGCGAATGCAAAACGCGTTCAACTGGACACTTTAATGCACTCAGACAGGGGAAAATATCGTCAACAATCACTTTCCTCTACTGCTATCGTCTAAGCAGAAAGCAGGTTCCTGCTACACATCGTAGAACCGCACTGGATCGTCGGTCACCGGCGGGAAAACGCAAGCCTCATGGGGAACACGCTTCAATGGATCTGTACGACTTTCTCATATAGAAGCGTGCAAACACATCTCACAAAGATTGTATTTCAGTGAAGGAACAGAAGAGTAATGACATCGTCGCCTGCGTCAGAGCGCAGAGCAGTGAGTGCCTACTGGCAAGTCCACAGGGTGCGACCACCCCAGCCGAACCGGTCCCACAGGCAAGCAACCGTCATCCCCCGGAATTGGCCGCCATTCCTGGGCTTTACCATCAATTGTATAGTGTTCTAGAAACAGAAAGATCATAATTTCCGCAGTGTCTTTCGAGAATGGGTGTTGTCAGGCTTCTCTCGCTGGCGGCCGCCAGCGTTCTCTTGGTGAAGGCCAACGGGGAGGACTCTAATAACACGGCAGGTGAGCCCTTAATGACCCGCAGCACCAACTGATTTTCCCATACACAGGAGAACACACCAAAATGATGGGCAAGTGTCTTTGTTGGGCGTGCGGCTGCAGTAAAAGTAGAATGCTCCTCACACATGAACGCAACGCGGAGCA